GATCAAATAGTAAAGCTAGTATTGGATTTCAGGCATAATCACAGGATAGTATTGGACTACAGTAAGAATGTACCACCTATCAACATTGTTACAGACACTTTGGCTTCAGGAATTGGAGGAATAGTCAGCCAAGGTTATGATTAGAAAGATTCCAAGATAGTAGCATTTTTCTCAGTAAAATTAAACCCTACACAACAGAATTACCTAGTACACAATGTAGAATTACTAGCAGGAGTAGAAACTATACTAAGACACAAGAATCTACTATAGGGAATGTATTTCTTTTGGTATACCAATCACAGAGTGTTAGAACACATTCTAAGGCAACTAGTATTAAGTGGAAGACAAGCCAGATAGTTAGAGAAGATGTTAGACTTTGATTTCACTGTAAAATACATTCCAGACACTACAAACATTCTTACAGACATATTATCACACATATACTCAGGAGATTTACTAGGAACAACTTGATCTCAGCAAGAATATACATTGCAACTTGATGACAATAATCTATCAAGGATTAATCAAGTCAGGAATAACATTTCACAGCTGTTAGAGATACAGGATACTACATATATTGAGGCTAGACTAGTAGTAGTAAGGAAAACTTTACCTTGAGGATTGATTGCAAGTTGACTGTATAGTAGAAAGGCTAGATTAATTACCAGACATGCTAGAAACTTATAGACAGACCTCTAAACAGAGGGCAGGCCTGCTACAAGGACTAGAAGCTGGTTTACAATACTAGAGAAAGTACAGTGAGATCAGGAAATGGATACACACAGTAAGGTATCAGAAACACTGTCTCAGAACACTAAACAATTGGATTTGTATGAAATAAATTCACTTACAAATGTACCAGACACTAGAAGTAATATGTAAGGATACAGACATTCAGACAATAATATTAGATCAGAAATTAATGATTAGAACGTCCCAGTACTAAAGAACACTACTGATCAACTCTAGAACTTGATTGAACTACAGTTACCTGATATAATAGCTCAATCTTTACTGGATTTACAATTCCCAGAATGTCTCAAAGGCAGATATTATGAGGATAACTTCTTCAATCAGATATTACAAGATCTGAAGTACTTCCAGAATTTTCATGTTGAAAATGGACTCATATTTTGCTAGGAGGGTAAGAGGTACATACTTTACATACTTAGAATTCTAATACACAACAGAAATGCTAGGGAAATTGTAATAGAGTATGTACATTCTATTTTGACACACTTAGAACCTCAAAAGACACTTTCATACCTTAGAGAACAAGTTTGGTGGAAAGATATGATTATAAACATTAATTCCTACTGTAATTTGTGTCATACATGTAAGATCAGCAAACCTAACAATCAGAAACTGTTTGGTTTACTACATCTGCTCTCAGTACCTAATAGGCCTTGGGAAGGCATAAGAATAGACTTTGTTAAACCTTTTCCTGAATTGAAGAACTGTTTAGGACCTTTTAATATGATTTGTACAGTTATTTGTCTATTAACTAGTATAGTACACATTATTCCTACTAGGCAAACATACAGAGTAAGAGAAATTGTAGAGATAGTATTTGAAAACATCTATAAACTGTATGGATTGTCTAATTACATTGTTAGCAACTGTGATTCCCTATTCACCAGTATGTTTTGGAGAAGATTACATGAACTTATAAGTATTAAATTGAAGCTATTGAGTACATATTATCCACAGACTAATGGATTGACTGAGAGAATGAACAGAACAATTACTCAGATGCTCAGACAGTGTATTTCTCCTAAACAAAAAGATTGGATACATAAACTACCTATGATCAAGTATACTATCAATACAGTAAGGTCAGAAACTACAGGATATGTACTATTCTTTCTAAATTACAGCTGGATACCAAGGAATTTGATATGGAACAACCCTAGGAAGGATGAATATTCTAGAGTAAGGACTTACACTCAGAAAGTAAAGGATGTAATACTACAGGCACACAATACAATCCTTCAGGCAAGGGTAAAGTAAACTAGATATGCTAATAGACACAGACAACCCTCTTTATTCAAATTGAACAATCTAGTGTATGTTTCTACAAAGAACATGAATCTACTAAGACAGTAAGTGAGGAAACTAGTACCAAAGTATATAGGACCTTACAAAATAATCCAGAATGTAGGAAACAAGGCATTTGAACTAGATCTACCCAGGGAAATAAGGAATTGTAACATACACCCTGTATTTCATTCATTACTACTTAGAATATATGTTCTAAACAATGATAGATTATTCCCTGGAAGGGAAGTAGGACAAGTTACTGGATTAAACAATGAGAACAAGGAATGGACAGTAGATTCAATTTAAACTCATACAGGACAAGGGACTACTACTTTGTTCAAAGTACTATGGAAGTCCAGAGATCACACATGACTACCCTATGATAAAATTGCACACTTTGAGGCATTAAAGGAATACTTAGACATACTTGGAATTGATTCTATTGATGTACTAACTCTAGGAAAGGGAAAACTCAATACTGATGACCCTCAGGTTAGTATCAGTCTAGTAAAACATGAGGCAACCTTTCAAACACAATACTACAGTATGGACATACAGGTAGACATACACAAAGGCTTTAAAAACTGTACATATAGTCACTTTACTGTGTATATCATGTCTACTACTCAAGAATCTATTACTCATACATTTGTATCCACTTTTCTACAAGGCACAAATATGCCTCATCCTCCTCTACAACTCTTAGTTGGCTCTTGAGCACAACCAATCATGTAGGATTGGGTTACTCACAACTACAGTACAAGCACTAACTATGTTTTTGATTAAGAGGAGCTTAAGGAGATTGTAGCTTTCTCCAGGGCTATCCACAACAATTCCCTTGACCCTACTATACAACTCTCAGAGTGTTATCTCATTGTATTATACTTGTATAACTTCCATGTTCCTTCTCATACAAGACTGAGCCTGCTACTACTGTTCCAAGACTGTGTTCAACATGCTAAGATGATACAAGTGTTCTAGGACTTTGTATACTATAAGAACATAGCTTCAAACTAAGGTAAATGCACATATATTCTGTATTATATTATTACAAGCACATATACCTTACTATTTTACTTAGGTGCAAAGTGTAGAGCTGAGCAAATCAATAATGGAACCACTATATTCTACTCACACAACTGTAAATGTCCCTGGATCAATTTGCAATTGCCCTCAACATCTACTGATCTTACTTCAGTACTCAATATGAGTACTCTGAGCTCATTCAATACTCAAGGCATTACTCTACTGCTGAATCTGCTGCTTTCTACTCAATCCAACAGCTATTCCAACCAATCTGCTATGAGTTCCACCAGTTCTGCTACAGAACAGGTCCAAGCTGGACAGGAACATGTCTAGTCCACTATGGGACTGATTGAAGACACATCCATGGCTACAGAGAATGTCCTAGCACAGCAGTACTGAACTTTGTAGTAAGTTACTAATGTTTTCTTTTGTTTTTGTGTTGTTATTTTGTTTATTCTAGTACTAACTCCTTTAGCATTTAGAATTAAATGCTGGAGGGCAAGTGTAACAATTACACTACCTACACATTTGCACAACATGTGTTGTAGGTGCTTGTGGGTGTTTTCCTTTTTGTTCACTAGACTACCCTGTATCCTACTACATGTGTATACACATATATAAAGGGTTTTCGAGCTAAGGGTTAGGGGATTCTTTCTCCTTCTCAGTGCTTGATTACTAGGTTATCCCAGTCAGTAGTTGAGTGCACTGGTAAAGAGAGAATCTTCGTGTAAGGCTAGTATACCTATCCTTACAAGAAAGTCCAATCTAAATAGAACAGTGTCAGGAGTTGCTCTCCAAGTATCCAAATGTATTGTAATAAAGGACTAGAAAAAATGTACAATGTAACAAAGGTAAACCATGCTGCCCGTTTCATACCATTGTTTCCGCTTTGCTGTACAGGCGAATAAGTCAAGGACGGTGTCTGAAGCCTAAACGACGAAGCAACGTTTGCGCCTAGGTAGCTCGACTTGCTTCTACATTGGTCGCACGCGTCCTTGAGCAATGCCTCTCTGAATCAAAGGTTTAAGGGATGGCTCAGTGCAATAGAGTGCCACCAAGTACTTGCACGTCATTTCGCACGCTTAGATCGGGTGGATCGTACAACGAACAGAAAATGACAACTTGCATTCTCTTACTAGACAATGACAAAGGTCGTGAAGCTGACTTGAGTTGTCAAATTCATATTCAAGCACTATTGTATTTTGCTTTCCCTTAATACTAGACAGCTATATTATACTCACAGCCAGTAATCATCTATTTTATTCATCATCATACTGGGTAATGAACTTTAGGTAAGATATGGTCTCAGTTTTTCTACCTTAATCCTATGATTATCTAGTTATACTCACAGGATGTGTAAGAGCATCACGAGCGGATGGCCTCTCTCGCCAATTCTTTTCGGCCAAATACCTAATAAAGCTCTGAAAGCCTAATTATGAAACACGTCAGTAGACAAATACGAGGTTTCGAATTAAACACAAACTTCTGCTTCCCCAAATTTCCGACTGCTTTGGTAAACCATCTATATTTTGCAGTCTGTCTATAAAGTATTCTACAAAGTCAAAATGTAATTGTCTGCAGACCCCTACAAACCGAGCCGATATTAGTATATGCAAATATAGGTATAAATTATACACTAATTACTAGGATCACTAAAATCTACTCTTTTTCTTGATCTTCTACATATATTCTGCATATATATTTCCATAGCCTCTTTCCAGTCGATTGGTACATTCCCTTCTGCTAGAACATATACAATAATCCTTGAAAGTCTCATATTAGACTTTACTAAGTAGAGTCAATGTATGTAATTACCATAGAGACCAAATATCTGAATTATGAGCAACTTGACAATAAAACCTTTCATATGCACAATAATCAAGTGTGCCACATTCTTTATATTTTTTAGCTCCTTGTTTTAATTTTGTTGCACTTTATAATATACTAAATATGAGTATAATTTATAGTTTTAGGAATGTATATAAATTGCACACAATCCAAAGTCAGTAATCTTTACACGTTTTCCACTTAGTAAAACATTTTCTGGTCTATAACAGAAGTAAATACTATGAGTATATATAATATTGTGATTTAAACTTACTTAAGATCACAGTGAACTAGAGATGGATCTAAATTCAAAAGATAATTCAACCCTTTTAGTATCTGTCTTTATATATATATTTATATCTCTCTTAGTATACATAAACACAAAGTTGAACACAGTCTTTACCTTGTTATAAGAACAATATTGTATTTGCTCCAGGGATGATAATTATGACCATTCCATCGTTTTAAGGTTGCATCAAAAAGGTCTCCATCTTTCATAAGCTCAAAACTAAAGCAAGAGACACCACCAATTTCATATTCTCCATAATACTTTATCTATAATAAGTTTATAATAGTAAATATATAACTTAAACAGTTAGCTTCGTTTTATTACTTACTATATTCTTATGGTTGAGTGTCTTTAATAGTTCAAATGTCTTAATCTCTTTTGCAACAACCCGTGACTTCTTATTTTTAAACATTTTAACTGCAAGATAATACTTTTGGCTTGATCTAGTGTCTTTACATATAACTTCCTATATTAAAAGAAGTTATATGAGTGCTATTTCTAACAGGTTGCTATTTAAATTATTGGAAAAGTCACTCACATATACTTCACCAAACGATCCTGTACCAAGCAGTCTTCCCCACTCATATGAGTATACTGGGGGATCATCACTTTTCACTTCAGTATAAGTGTGATTATAGTTTATATTAGCGTTTTGGTTAGCTTCCACGTTTTGGTAATTGTATCCATTGAAAAGCTTAGAACTAGGCTGTATGTTAGGAACTTCTGTACTGCAACTGTCATTTCGGCATTGTGTTGAATCTTCTGCAGTAAACCAATGCACGCGGTTATTATTATTGCTTTCAAATTGGCCGAAGTTTGAAACTTGGTTGTACCCGGATATATTCTGGTAGTATCCCATACTTGCATTATTATTATTTATCGTACCATCGCTATTGGTCGTTTTAAGAGTTAGCTGCAATCTTTAATATAACTATGTAATCCCTCACCTTTCTTGCGGGTAACCGTAGCTGTGGTCGTAATAAGGTTGTGTGGAAGCGTTATAGTCCTCTGGAGAGCTATATTGTGCTGAATTGTGTGTATTGCTGCTCCCTAGATCCTGCTCAATATATGCAGTCGTGCCGTTGAGTCCTGAAGTATTATATGCACTAGTTTCTTGGTAATCTTCTGATTCACTGGCAACACATGGTACTTCAGTTGCTGAATCGCTTGCCTGAGACTGACGCTCAGATGTGTGGTATGTAGGGGTCTGAGGACTCGAATCCACGTTCAGTGATGCACGACTGCTATTCACAGGTATTGAGTAGTACTGTAAGGGGAAGTACTTTTGTACAATATCACACACCTATTAGAGACAGAATCTTGCACTTGACTAGATTGTGGAGAATCTAGCGTGTATATTGGAGGCGGTGATGATAATGCATATAATTGACTGGTTACAAAATTCGTACCAATTAACACAATGTCAAGATATAGTTGTAGCAGCAGACATACCTCTTATGTACAGGCTTGTCTTTGCGTTTGCGTTTGTCACTGGCACTAGTACGTGGTAGATTCGACGATTCTTTCTTTATGCCCTCCGTAGTGCCCTTGCGAACTGCGACAATGCTGCTGCCAGGCCTCCGTACTATTTCAAGCCTTTTCTTGCCAGATCCCTGCTTTGCTTGTTGCGAAGTCTTGTCGTTACGCTGCCCCTGAGTGGCAGAGCTCTCATGTCGATGCTCATGCCCACTACTAGTAACATGAACGGATTTACGTTTTACTTTTGCTGGCTTCTTTCCACGATCCTTGTTGCTTCTGTATGCCATTTAGTAGGAAGAAGTTAATAATATACCTGTTCAAGGTGCGAAATTATCTCTAGTGGTGGCCTATTTAATACAATACGAAGCAAGATTGCAGATGCAATCATCCGTGGTACCTAAGAGTTAGACTCAGTGAGTCAGATATGGCAACTAGTTTGCAGCCAGTCAACAGAGGATTAGTGTACTGGCCTTTTACTATTGTTTACAACACTTTGCATGAAAAGGCCTGTATACACCAGCAACGTCTAGAATTGCCATCATCGTTTACGTGCCCATTCCCGATCCACCTTGATTCCGCTTGCATTACCACTCTAGCAATTTGCGTTCGGTTCTGACTTCCTCCCTTCCCTGTACGGGTTTTCCCTCACACATGGACCTGATCTCGTATATCTAACACACGCCGATCAAATAGAGCCCCATCCGTGCAGCTCAGTGGGCAATCGGCACTCTAATTCTGACTTTCCCCACCCTCGTCGACGAGATCTTGCATCCCGGCATTTAAAGACCAACGGCGCCCAGATACCACACAAAGCTCCGCGTTATCTAGCATACAACGGCCATCAACACAGAACGTGCTGTGTTATTATCCTTGCGACTATGCTGATTCATCTTGCTTCTAGGCGATATTTTTATTCATGACTTCGATCCGGCTATACTCGTCATCCTTGGTTTCTTGTATGCGCGCGCGTGTTTACTTGCATCCTTTCCCCACGCCTTTCCTTATACGAGATGCACTACTATTAAGTACATGCTACAAGGTACACTGATCAACGTTGTCAGTCTCTTTATAATTCCGTATTTAAAGGGGTGTACCACGACAACACTGATCTACCGCATCGGCGTGGAAAAGGCTCGATCAGAGGTATGTCTTTTCCGATGCCTTTTTGCGCGACATGTCGAGTATACCGGAAATATGGTAGTGTTCGCCGACTAGTTCTTTCGTAGCATGCATTAGTCTATCGAGGCGCGTTATAATACCAAATGCAGTGGCAACGCCGACGCTGAAATATCTGGATGGAAGATAGACATTAGCATTGCTGAGTCCGTAAAAATATTAGTAGTTAGTCGGAAAAGATACGTACAGATACTGTTCGTTCTCGAGTGTCTCAATAGTGAGCAGTCGAGGGAGACCATAATCATCAAGATCCTCATGATGCGTAACAAAACGATCGAGCAAAGGGCATGGAGTGATCTGCGGGAGTGGAGCACCGGTGCGAAGTGCGATTGAGATCATACCTGGAAATTTGTATAGTCTCAGATCTGCCAATACACGAGGTACAGCGAGTTAAGGCGACTTACAGATTACAGATAGGATATCACCTTGAAAGTCTGGCTCCATAAAACGAGTCCTTCGTAAGAATGCGCGTGCCCATTCTGGGTCGAGATGTTCCTCCACGGAACGCAGATGTGAGAGGAGATACGCGATTTCCCTATCAGTATTCATCATATTTAGAATATCACAACACAACCTTCTCAAAGGCTTGTAGTTACATTTGAATGTCGAGCACTCTCTGGTATCGATCCGCAGGCCATTTCCCTTGCAATGAGAACTAAATGCCACATTAGCTAACCTGAAAAAGAAGTACACCTGATTCACTTACCTCGTAGGTGACGTTCTTCCGTAACGCCCTTGTCCTATTAAGCTTCATACGAACGGCGGCGAGGTTCTTGACAAGCTCTTCCGTCTTCACTTTGTCACGGACTGTAACACACGACAGAATATCGCAATACAGTTGACCGATTTGACTCGCAGTTGTAGAGTATGTCGTGCGCAGGTAGCGGCGCAGAGTTGTTGAGGGCGGAAGGAAGGAGAATATACTTCAGAGGAGAAAGTTAATAAGACAATGTTAGTTAGCGGCTGGTGAACTTACAAGGCTACGGTCACTCCAATCGACACCATAAGGAAACGTTTCTACGGGTTCCAGTCAGTAGTTAACATGTTAGATGTCGCGTCATACACACCCATGCCACTTCAAACCCAAATCCTATTTCCCTAGTTCAGATGTCTGCCAAACGAGAAGGCGCTAAGACATACCTGCAACAGTTATCGACGGGAAATGCGTGTCCTGCCAGGAATACGAAATCACAAGCGAAGCGGTCAAGAAGAAAAAGATGACATTAATCGGTGGACCTGGGTAATGTATCCTGGCGAAGAAGAAAAAGGGAAAACAGACTGCAGAAACGGCTGCCAGAGCAAATGCATTCCCTGTTCCTCTGCCGGAGGAGACATACCTAACACGCACATGAATGAACTACAGCGAGAATAGAAATAAAGGTTGCAAATACCACATCGCCATCCCTACTACACCTCCGAAGAATGTACTGAAGATACGTGAAATGAGCCCAAACATAGTATCGCCTCGGAACCTGCTAATAGTTGTCTGTCCAAGTACGCTTCATTCCGATTAGCACCCAGTTATTCCTGGGGGACGAAACAACTCACATAGCCCAAACAGATCTATTAGCTAATTAGATTAAAGCATTTTAGTCGTTGAATTGTTCCCGGAATGAGCCTTACTGACCAATTGTCAATGTCACTGTCTGTGGGAGAAAGCACGGCAAGCTCAACAACGCTGCCAAATGTGCGGGTGAGTGCGCGAGAGTTAACGTAGTCGACAATCCACTATACCTGCCATGAACCCAGCTTTAAATGCAAAGATAGAATTTCCATGACCGAGTGCAGTGAATGCACAATACACGGCTCTCGCGAATACCGCAAGTGCGCTAGTCGGAGGTAAAGCGTCTGGATCGCGCCGTGCACAGGATCCAAGTCGACTAGTTGCTTCTGGTGCTGGCTCAATCCCTGAGACAAGCTCTGGTAATCGCGAAGACAGTAAATACAACTCCTCTTGCCTTAATAGTATAAAAGAAGGCTCACCTGGATCCTCGTCATATTCAGGATTGATATTATTGTCGGAAGGATCCCATCTGTCCCACGTAAAGAGTTTTCGGAACGGATGTGTAGGTAACCACAAGTGGCTGCGGAGACGAGATGACTCCAGCCTACTTATCTCACCTAACTGAATAATAAATATTTAGCTTCGGCATTAGTGTAGTCGGAGAATTAAATCATCATACAAAGTCAATGAGGTTTATTGTGAAACGAATGAGATGGTATTGATAAAGGTAGCACTGGAAGAGATATCGATGTGGTGGAACATCTTCCCCTCCAGGACTTCCGTCGTCACCTGCCTCAATCACTTCACGGTATAAGTCGAGTACGCGATGCCTGGGCAGTAAAATGTTTATCAATATTGTGTAGAAAGCAAAGAAAAGGAACAATGTCTCACCGTCTGTTCTTTTGGAATTCTTTCAAGCAAGCTAGGAGATCTGTTCTGACCTCATTATTCTCCTCGACAATATCCCCGCACTTCCGCACCCCGCTTCGCTTCACGAGGCGCTTCCATAGTCTGTCATCGTTCACGCGTTGCAGCCATTCGTTCACGTATTCAAGTGTATCCGCGCAGCGCAAGAGGAGGGGTTGAGCACTCTCAGCCAGAAGGCCCATTGCTTGCGCGCGAATAGTATCAGCATCGGCGTGCATGAAACGCGCTTCGAGATTGAGATAAGCTTGTGACTCAAATGCACCCACAGCATGCTCAGGGCCTCGAGTCCGCATCTCTTGAAAAAGCTCGCTTCCACTTGCACGTGTGTGGCGATGAGGGTGATGATGTGACTGGAAGTAACTTTGCGCGTTAGCATATGTGTACGGGGTACGCCGTCGCCGTGTGATACTTGAACTATACGTCGACGCAGGTCTGCGCGGTTCAATGCTTGGAGTGGATGGGGATGATGGTAAGGAACCAGGTCGAGACGACGGACGTGAAGAAGGACGTGAAGTTTGCCGTGATGGTGGACATGAATACATCGGTGTCGCAGCTGGTGTTCCGGGAAACCTATGCCTCGATGGATCCATAATCTTAAAATAAAATGCCATCCCGTTTGCGCGAACAGTCATTCGCCGAGCGAGTTTGTGCATGGTCTTGAAATCACCTGGTTTGAAACGGCCATAAGAAACGTCCTTCTTCATCAGACGACTTGAAGCTGCAAGTGGACCAAGAGCAGCTTCCGCCTGTTGCACATGCGAGGCAAAACTCTCGACACCATCTTCGAACGCAGTACCCAAGAAATCCGAAGAAGTTTTCAGAAGCGTCGGCTGTCCTCTAAGGGCACTAACTAGAGGTAAGAAGACAGCACGGAAACGCTGACGATACTGCGCATGCATTGATTCTGGAAAAATCAATAAAGAAGAAAGAAGTGCAATGGCAGTATGGAAAGCGATTGGCACGACTAAAGCTTCACCGATCTAGGCCCACCGTTCAAATAAATAAGTAAACTTAGTGAATAGAAAGATCACGTACCTGGTAATTCGGAAAGGGATACAATGGTGCAAGAGTCAACGAAGAATCTGTCGATATCAATGAGCAACTTATTAAGATGAAAGGCCCTGTTGAAGAGCCATACCCATCACCGTGCAGCTAAGGATCATTGCAGCAGTGACTGGTTTGCCTTGACCCATTTTAGCTCGCAGATAGAGCAATATCGATGTTCCGATGCACAAAAATATCGCGCATATGAGGCTAGGCTGAATAAAGATAAGTTAGATGTTCGATATTGAGGACACAGGTTGGATTTACTATTGCTTCAATGTATCGACCATTAAGGATCTCGTGTTCACTAACACTTGGATTGAACTCATTACGAGCCAAATTCGCGAGCCATACGCCTAGACAGCTCCATCTATGCGTCCGGGTAAGTCAGATGACTTGAAGGAATAAAGAGATTCTACCCACGCATATGCACCTGATACCGTCAACTGAATAACGGTTTCCTTCTCGAGGACGGAGATAAAGGGGTCTGAAGGGGGCGATAAAAATGCAGCTGCCTCGGCGTAAGGACTGCACAAATAATCGGGATAACACGGACTTACGCACCTAATAGTATAATAAAACTAGACTGAAAAGGCATTTTCAGCCAAAGTCGAGTTATCTGATAGGACAGTTGTACTCACTCTACCAAGAAATGCTTCGGTACGAGGTATTAAAGTCAACAACAGAGAGATCCAAGCACAAATTGCACATCGTAAGACAGGTCGTATATGTGATTTATGCATATTATTAGGTATCCACGATAAGTTATAGGGCAACATCCCCAGCCAGAACGACGGCCTCTTAACACTCTTGGTCGCATGGACCTCTTGAACATGGTGCGAGGACTTCTCAGCTTTGTTGTCATGTTCCCCAGGCCTCTCTAGATTCACGTCAAAATGAACAGTATTATACGATGGTTCCGCCTTGATGACATTCTGCGGGATGCTCAATCGCAGTAGCTCTTGTGTATTTCGCTTTTGCTGTAAAGAGGGCTTCGGACCACCAGAGGCTCCATGCTGATAGTTTTCGTTCGTCTTCAGGTCGGAAGGAGATTGGTTTGGCATCGCGGTGTCGTCAGAGTCGTGGGTGGCAGAAAGTGCATGAAAGGCGAGATGGGTGTACCCGTGATAGCAGCAAAACCCGTTAACATTTCAAAAAATGAAAATGCTCCAACGACGCGAAGACAAAATAGAATTCCGGAGTGCCAAGCGAAGATATGATCACGTGAAAACGACTTTATCTTATCTAATAATGTCAGGTGATCACATGCTTGCATTTCGGCGGGAACTTCCGATAGCATGGACTTTCACTACATCACCATGAGAGCCAACGAAAAGATTGCGCTAATTGGCGATAAAGTTGTGCTCGTGCCATATAGGTTCGTATGTGTGTGATTTTATACACCGTTCCAATATGAATACCTCTGAACTTGCAGGAAGGAGCATGTCGAGGTCAGCACCTGATATATCATATAAGTGCAGAGCAACAAGCATATTCAAATGTGCATGACTTGTCAGATAGAAATACCATGAGTGGATGCTCGACCCAGACCTTAGAGAGTTGACTGCGAGCGAGCCCTTGGCCCTTGAGGAAGAATACGAAATGCAACGTTAGTTTTTAATCAGATTGCCTCACGGCAACTCACACTTTACTACGCAGGGAAATGGCAAGAAGACGAAGATAGTAGGTTTAATATTTACTGCTCATAAGCTTGGTAATACTAATTAAACCAACACAGAACTTACTTTCATTGTACTTGCACGAGAGGACTCACCAAATGGAGATACCTGTTCTGTCGATTCAGGAAGTAGTATATACGATACCAGACACATGATAGGTGATGTGAACCTCTTCTTCAAGGGCTCGGCCCATGATGAAGACTTTGAGGTCGAAGCGGAGATCATGATTGCCGGTCAGCTTCCATAACTCAGAACCAACTGCCGAACAACTTCTAAAATAAAGTGCTTCCCTTCACATTGACAGAAGAGGCCTATCGGCGAAAAGGTTATGCATCAGAGGCACTCCAAATCCTCCTTTCGTTCGCTACGTCGTTTGAATACCTATCTACCTTGCCTATCTCCGCTGACAAGCTTGTCGTCCGCATTGGTGATAAGAATAGCGCAAGCATTGCGCTGTTTAAAAAGCTCGGCTTCGTAGTGGCAAAGCATGTGGAGGTGTTTGAGGAACTCGAGATGCGGCTCGGTGATACCACTAGTAGAGACAGATGGACAAGAGGAAAATTGATCAAGCTAGAGTAGCATTGATAAATGCGAATCCGTCCGATACAACACATACCGTTTGTACGGTGCGCCTGTCAGATTACCTTCCTTCCCACAATCAATACGTCCGCTAATTCGGTCTCGGCAGATCCTCACAACACAAAGCGCACTGGATTTAATTAGAAACATCCAATAAACTTAACGCTTCTACTTCCCGATCTCTTCCTTCCCCACTGACAAATCGGGCCCAAGCTAATCATGAAGAAGGAAGACTATCTAAGCAAAGAAGCAAAGCGCATGCTTGAGAATCCCACCACCAAATATGAATGGGAACAAACGGTGTGCGCGAATATAATTTCCTTCCTTCGATCGAAGATCCTCTTGCCGCTTTCGCGCCGCTGAGCAATGGAAACGACGTCAAGAACCTCTCGGTCGCTGGGGCGGCAGAAGACGAGTAATTTTTTAATTTACACTTGCAACGCTCTTGTGTATTTTTTATGAAGCATCGATTACGCAAGGGCCACGGCTTGTGGAGTTTACAGCATGAACACAAAAGGCCACGAGTTTCCAAGTGCTTGGTCCAGGCACTTTGTTTGCGGCTTAGAAGATGCATGTCTGGTGTGTGCACATAGGACATGCTTTTAAGTACGCCGCACGTACGTCTCTCTCCTCCGACTTATTGCCACTTGACTATCTTTCCCTGCCCGCAAAGCCACTTCAAAAAGTCAGATTGCTTGGAGGACTTTGAGGATTGGTTCTGTTTGTTTGTTGTTATCTGGGGACTATGTCGAGCCAACAAACCACACCCGACTCTGGTGGATACCGTACATTAGCGACGGATCGAGACGAATCCTGTTCAAGTGACTTCGACGTTGACTATCAAGCGATTTTGTTCGTCATCGACGCCTTTGGTGACTCGGCATTTACACTCTCACCTGGCCGTCGTACAACGTTCCCAACCGACGCCTCGCCATCTCACGACTCTAGCATCCCCAAGCGACGCTCGTTCACTCTCCTCTCAGACTCATCATCATCGGACACTGCGTACCAGGACAGCGACAGCGGGCTTGAGAGCGATACAGAGACGGACGTAGACGATGACATATACGATTACGAACACATTGAAGAGATAAAAACCGAAGGAAACGGAGATGACGGATACTCATTCCAATTATTACCTGCGGTGACTGTACCGTCGTTCACGACTGGACCAAGATCGATGGACGCGCCGTGGCCATATACTTTCGAGGTTCGTCTCTCAATTCCCAATTACCACTCCACACCAATCCCCACTAGGCTGAAAGAATTTTCTCCCCATGATCCTTGTCAACTCTCACGTACCGTAACTCACATACATCCAGAAAGGAAGCACAGCATTCGCGAAAAACGCAAACGGAACGTGGCATCGCGTAACACTTCTGGACAGCGGCTTCCTTTCCTCAGCGGGAATCAGAGACTCCTTCCTTGACCTAGACACACCTTCCATTTCTGAAAATGCATTAATGTACACTGCACGGTGGACCGACTCTTCAGGTCGAACATGCTATGGAACGTTCTGCCCTACACGTGGAGATTTGAAGCCTGATGATGCGCATGTACGGAGGTTACTCGCTAAGGAGGGAAGCTTGAGGAATTGAGGGAATTGAGTAGATTGAAGAGTAAAAAAGGAATTTATTGCATATCTTTATCCAAGTTCATTTCTTTCCGTATATATGCGCAAATTTTTATAGGTATATTGTGGTATCCAAGACTGTCCATCCAAATACATTATCCACCATATCACTGTTTACTGAGGAACGTTCATAGGAACATGTCCTCCTTGAAAAGCCGTTCACGGAGATGCATCGTCATCACCGAGTGCTTGTACGGGAGATAGAATGATTGCTATCATTTCAAGGAGAAAAAGAAGATTCAGAACAGCCTCTAGAGAATTAGAAGGTCAAGGTGAATTTGGCTTACTGTTTCAAGATGCATACCCGCATCGATGGAAGTTTTGATAATGGGACCATTGATACGTTTAGGTTCACCGATGATGCGCGTCGTGCGTGGGTCAGCGAGGAATAGGTAGTGTATTATGGATCGGAACCATGCTTGTGCTGTGTTTGGTTCAGTCAATCATGAGACAAGAATTAGGCGGGAGAGAAAAGGGGTTGAAGGCGAGAGGAGCGTACAGAATTCTTGTCCGCGGTATTTATTCTCACCGACGAGGACGTGTAGTCCTCGATCGTAGTCTTGCGCTCCAATACCCGGAACATACGTCGCGACGTGGTTTTCCTATGGTATTGGTCAGCATATATCCAAGTAAAACCTCAATCCAGTAATTAATCCTACCTTTATCCAAACAAGCTCAGCATACCCCATCTTCTCATCATCCCAACTCATAACAAGCGGAAGCACACCCGGATCCTCACACACACCCTTCACATACCTCCTATGCTTCTCCTCATCCCCGGCCTCTCCCCACCCAGCATTCACCCTCGGGTCATTCATCCACTTATGAAACGCATCCATATCACCCTCATCTTCCAAATTAATCATATGGAACTTCAGCGTCTTCCCAATTGGTTTGCAGAATCGTGAATAGACGGACGCTCCTGCGGGAGGCTTTGGAGGGCGGAGAGGGTGTTGGGTGATGACGGTTGGTGAACGCGTGAAGCTTTGAGTATGTGGGAAGGGTACGTAGTCGAGTGAGTAGCGTAACCAGCCATGTGGATTGTTCCATGCTGGTCCCGTCCCTGCTCCTTGCCAGAACGTAACACGGCTCAAAAAGAGCTCGGGGACTGATGGATCTAATGCTCGTCTCGCAAGGCCAGACTGTATAAGGTACTCGATAGAATTTTTCGATGTAGACGCATTTTTGAAGGTAATCGGTATGACCTCTTGGGCATGTAGCAACGTCCAAAGTGCATAGATCGAAGCCCAAAGATCAGCATTAACATTCTGCTTATCTTCGCTGATAATTTCAAGTTCCAGCACGGAGTAATGCGGTACAGGGTTATTCTTCTCATAAGGTGTTCCAAGAGCGGAAAGTACGAGCGCAGCTTCACGAGGAAGTGCACGAAACGCAAGCACCAGTTGCGTATCTACGAAAATCCTTGACACCGATTCATTCGCATCGGGCCCTCGAACAGTTACACGCGGACCGTCAGGTAGGTCAAGAACATGCTTCTCGGTTGCAACGACATTGAGGACGTGCTGTAAACGTTTACCAGCCGTCGAGGCATTCGAACTCATCATGGTCGTCAAGAGTTAGGCTTTTATCTAATTTCAGTTCCGATAGAATTATCTGATTAGATTTCCGCGATCCAGGTTCACGATCACATGACACTTCACCCCTCATTCGCACCCTAGTCTCTAGTCCTTCTTCTCAGCCACCTCTAGTACTGTACATACCTCACTATGCCCTTACCCACCCACAACTCGTACCTTTACTTAACCTCAGCATGCGTCTTATGGTCTCACAGCTGTTACTCAATCTCATCTCTCACTTCTTACAACCCAGGCTCAGCTTACGACTGTCTTATGATTCAAGCTCTTAATATCGCTTCTTACAGCGCTAGCTCTCAGCTTACAACTTTCTTACGGCTCAGGCTAGTTCTTCATCTCACTTCTTACAGTTCAGACACTCACTTACAACTTACCTCTTATATACCTTGACTCTGCACTGGTAATCTCAACAATGAATAGATGCGGTCGGAAAATCTCAGCACGGGTTTGCTGACAAGGGGAGTGGCTAATTCTCCCTCATCCTCAAACCTGAACTCTGGCTTCCAGGCTGAGGCAGATCGTCCATAGGATCACGTTTAAGCGGGAAAGGTTAATCTTGGTAGAGAGGATGAAGGGCGATCTTGACTCGCTGCTGGTGATCGCGACGAAGAACCCCGGCGATGCGGTTAGAAAACCTTGGCATAGACTTGCTGACGAAGGGAGTGGCTAGTTCACCCTCATCCTCAAACCCGTACTTTGGCTTTCAGGACCGCGGGAGCACGTCGATGGTGTTGCGGATAAACAGGAAAGGCGGGATTCCCGTCACCTGTCCACCTGGTACCCTGATATTTGCATCCGACCCGACCTGCTTCACGGTAGTCAAACTCTCGTTCGGTAGCTAGCGCTGACCCAACTCCGAATCTGGAAAGAAACACCAGCAAACTGTAACAAGCAGAGACACGAGTACTCGTCTCATGTTGTTTGCGCCAACCACGGCTGACGCTGAACCCGGGTCTAGAGGAGTACCTCTAGACAGTCATCCGCCTCCCTTCGCAAATAGGCTCAAGTACGCTCGAACTCCGATCTTCTTACTATGTCTGCACGGTGCGGAGCCTGATCGAGAGGTGGCAGGCCAGGGTACTAGTTGTCAGGGCTGGTGGACCAGATTAGCCTATCGTCGCCTTCAACGTCGTCCGCGTCGTTAACCTCAGTACAGAGAGTTCGCCCTTGACTCCGCGCTGGTGATTGCGACGACGAAAGACTCTACTGAGGCGGTCCGAAAACCTCGGCACGGATTTTCCGAAGAGGGGAATGGCTAGTTCGCCCTCGTCGTCAAACCCATACTCTGGCTATCCAAACCGAGGCAGAGCGTCGATAGCGTCGCATTTAAGCAGGAAAAGTTGACCTTGGTGGGGAGGATGACCTTGACTCCGCGCTGGCGATCACGACGACGAAATGCTCCACTGAGGCGGTCGGAAAACGTGGGCGTGGACTTGCTGGCGAGGTGAGTGGCTAGTTCACCCTCACCCTCAAACCCGTGCTCCAGCTTTCCAAACTGGGGGAGCGCATCGATGGTGTGGTGTACATCGTACTCTATACCATGAGCGGGTGAGGATTGCGGTAAGTGCGAGAGGTTGAATGACGATGGTAGGGTAAGAATGCAAGAAGCAATGGGTTATTTCTCGCTCTTTAGGCCTTATTATAGACAAATCTAGCATGTCTCAAAACATAATATATTGTTGGTTTGGGCTGAAACGAGGCGATGACTTGTTCCGAACGCAACTGCCAAAGTTCGAAAGCGTTGTGAGATATCAATAGCAAACGAACAATAAACGTTTAATTTATGTCTTAGAGTGACAATCAAAGGGGTACATGCGTACTCTTCCATATTCATATCCTAGTCTGAACTGAGTAGGGCGTCTGCTACAATCGGATCCGTCCTGTATGTAATGGGGTATTGGCACATCAGCTGCGTCGCAGCCACGTCCACAACTAGCGATGATTGTAATTGATCCTTGACTTCGTAATGGGACTCACCATGAGCCAGAATATAAGTTTGTTATGCCACCTTATATGTTAAGTACAAAGGTGTTTCATTGACTTAGTCGCTACCAAGTGGATATTGTCTCATCAACAGGGGAGGGAGCCTATGGAATCGATTACTTTCACTTTGCTACTAGACGCATAAAATAAAAAAACATTTATACGTCATGAAATTAAATTTGGATCGTGGATTTGTATTTAATGCGACAGACATACTGCATATTTTATGGAAGAGATGCTTCTTGCTGAGATAATGCCTTTCTGTGCTCAATTCGGACACCTCGGTCTTTGAACACTTTATAGTTGATGGTCGTATCACAGTACACAGACAGAATCGGCAACGACTTGGAGGGGTTGCTGATGACATGGATGGGAACATATGTGCTGCCTGTATAATCACCCTCACGAAAGTTAGTGCAGAAACGAGTTGATATGCAGCAGTGATAGCTATGGATACATTTCGGCGGATACAAAAACTAACATGTACAGTGCTGTGAATGCGAGGATCATGATCTGTCTTGTTTAGCTGTTGAAGTTGTCTCGGGTAAGGCTTCGGTGTGATCTGCCCTGCTACGTAGAAGTTCCGCTTGCGGCTTTAGCTTCGTTAAAGAAATAAAAGAGGCATTAGGGAAGAGCATCTGTGCGGCCGGGCTGTAAAGAGGAAAGGTGAATGAATATCAGCAAATATAGACAAAACAAGGAACCGAAGGCATGCTTACGGCTCAAAAATCTTAAGGGCGTCGCAAACCAACGAATCGCGAAGCCTAACGCAGCGTCTTCCGTATTTATCAAGGTTTGGATCCCACGCAATACCACGGTAAAGCATTTCGAAAATCGTCTCAGAAAACAGGTCTATACCCTCCGGATCCGGCTCTGCTAGAATCTCCGCGTCTCCGTATGTGGCACTTGCATGTCTTGGATCGTTGCAATAATGCTTGGAGCAAGTACAATCCCCACATGCACGAGTAAGATCGCTTTGGACGAGATTTTGTATGCAAAGTATTAGTTCCTGCCAGAATTCGGGTACAGTTGCACTGGTGAGTTTCACGTAGAGATCAGGTCCGCGCGAGAGGAAGTAGTGCCGGAAGATGATGCCAGTGAAACGCAAAGCCGCAAACGAGGTATGAGGGTTCCTATTAAAATAACATGAATGTTCTGTCTGTGAAAGCTATAAGGTCACTGGACATACTCGCAATACTTGCGAATCATTTGCGTACTCGGAAGATCAGAAACCGGGGGACCTGTACTCCATTCTTTCTTGCGCTCCTCGGCACGCTTTGTCTGTTCTGCCAGATGATCAACGAGACGGGCGACGCTACCCGGATCGTCGGAAGGTACAAGACAAGCGAAAGCCATCCGCGCAAGCGTCTCCTCCAGCAGGTCATCGTCAGTCGCTTGGCAAGAACGAACACTCTTGCGGTCACTCTTGATCACGTCAACATTCTCAAAGTAGAGATTTAGGTACGGAAAGCGGATGAACAGAGTTATAATCATGTTATATGCTTGAATGCGAGTGCTGACAATATTTGACCTTTTGGTGAAGGTTCTGTTAAAAAATATACACCATATGTGAAAGTGATCAGTTACTTCGTATAGCCGACCAGTTTTTGACAATCGGCCCTCAATCGAGGAATGTCCTGGATTAGTCCGAGTTCCAGCCTGAGTGCCTTTGATGTTGCTCCCTCATACGTCATGAGTGCTGTTGTTGGAGGACTTTCGTCCAAAGAAAAACCGCGCAGGTTTGCACCGATGCGAAGCGCAGCAGCAGCAGGTCCAAAGCCTAATGAATGTGCCGTCCGCGCAATGGCTCGCTCGAGCGCTCTACCACCCTTTGTGAAAACATATTTGTCTAGAATGCGACCGGGACCAGGGAGATCTGAAGCGGTCATTGTTGAAGAAGAGAGATGTGAAAAGGCAGAATTTAACGTCTGCACTGAGGCCACCCGTCTGAGCGGTGTGCTCGAGCATTCGTTGAAAATCTCCGCCTTCGTCTGATCAGAACGTAGTGCCAGCGAAAAGCAACCAGTCGGTATCTTCGTATTCAGAAAGACAGAAGAGTGTACTTACTGTGAATGATGATATGGACTCGGACATGAGGGTGGAGGTAACAGGACAGGAGAGGATGATGGACACCGGAAGTATTTAAACTAATTGTACGACAAAGTCGGGGCAGATAGACGTCGATTTGCCGTGATATATTACGATCGTTCCCATAAGCAATCAAAACTCAATGAGCGTCACAGCTTATTCATGTCGCAAATAGCGAGGCGGTGTTCAGTGTTTACAGCATCCAGGATTTGTTGTTGTAAACCGTCCTTTAGCCGTCGCGGCATTGAACTTGTCAATGTCATGCATATGGTCGACGAAAGTCTGGTTTCCATCAAATTTTCAAGATCTGAACTCGTCATGGTCGACGAAAGCCGGGTTTCCATGATTCATCATCAAATTTTCAGGATCTGCTTTGATTATCTAATTCGATTTCCGCGGTCTATCGTTAGGATTCGAGATTACCTCACCCCAGTGAATGTGGAATAAAATCCAAGAAAGGCATGTATCACTTCAGATTTTACTAATAAACGAGATGAAAAATTAGTACAATAAGAAAACGTCTAATATTCATGCTATAAAATACAAATTGCAAATTGCGAATGCAACAAACAGAATGCGTATTTTATGAAAGAGATGCTTGTTGAGTGACATTAATGCTGATTCCGATTCCAAACAACAATCAGAGCAAAGAAAACAGTTAAAATAGAATCGAAAGCGAATATGCAATGAGGATAGTCATAGAGATGAACATGAGAACATATTGAGGGACGAGGAAAAGCGGTAGTACGCCCGCTTCTCCTGTCCCAGAATATACCTGCGTAAGGTATACTTGTGAAGTTGCAGTTGGTACGCACGAAATGAACCTAGAACGGGATCAAGTCAATATACATACATACAGGACAAGATGGGAGTATAAGAGATGAATGAATACTCACATGCACACAAACCGCAACACCTTATCATCCTTATCAATGAACCCAGTCTGTACCAACCCCTGAATAATAAGTACACCAAGAACGGGTAACAGGAGCATCTTCGTCACAGCAAACCACACGATCGCTCCAATCGGTAACAATCCCCACTCTCCACGTCTAGGAAGTTGTACACGCGCAACGGCAGATCCAAGACAAATCAACCCAAGAGGAACCGACGCGGCGCCGACGAACTCTGCGCAGTCGAGGATGAACGCGAGCGGTGGTTGACCGTCTGGCGCATTTGGGATGGGTGAGTTGGAGATGGGTGTGAAGAGTGCTTTGAGGGGCGTTACGACCGCGATGACGATGCTAACGACGATTGTCACTGAGCAAGGGAGCAGGAGAGAACGACCGGCTGAGCGTGCAATAGCAAGCACTCGTTTGCTCAGTGGTGGTGGTTGACGAATGGTAGGCTTCGGAGAGCTCGGGCGAGAAGCACTTGGTGAAGGCTCTCGAGATGCTTCAGCCTCAGTCGGCGCAGCAGTCGACTCATCACCACTAAACGTAACATGTCGCCCAGCCTTCTCTGCAAGGTCCGGTGGCATATGCTCTGCGGTCACCTCCCGATTCTCGTTACCTTGAGCAGCAAGTTTCTCAATGTCCTTGTCTTGAGAATTCTGCGCTTTCCGCTTTCGTGGGATCGGTATGGCGCGCAGGAGACGAACTGTGTTGTCTACACTCTGCTTGGTCTTAACAGCCATAGATACGCGCAAGTCTTCGTCGTCGACATCCGGACCTACATAGTCCATCGCAACAAGTCGATGTGCACCCATCGGGAAGAGTGATATCTACGTCCCACACGACCATAAGCTTTCACTTCTTTCTTTAGGCTGCGAACACGAGAAAGACTTACAAAAAATACCAAGATAAACCCAGCAACATACGCAACCGAGATCGTCTGATCAGTAGCCGGGTTGAACGGGATATTCGCCGTAATACTCGTAATAACAGCAGTGGCTAAACATTTTACGGGAATCGTCAACAACAAAACAGTAATTCCAATAATCAGAGGTGAGCCCGAAAACAATGGTGAGAAACAGATAAATTTACGTACGAATATCACTGTAGTTCGAGATCGTTCCAGCACATAGGATACCGTACCGGAAACGGTGTGGTACCCAGAAGAACCACTTGGTAGACCAAGCGAGGAAGAGCCCTATGGCTTCGTAGAGGAATGCAACAGCGACGAGTACGCCGAGTTTGTCGATATTTTGAGGTGTGAACGCGGGCACAATTTTCGAGAACATAAGGCACTATGACGTTAAAGTCCATCGTCAGTGATGCTATTTTATCCTGGAAAGGTTTGGTGTATAAGCCATATACGTACAGGAAGGGTGACGTTCAGGACGATCTGTCCTGTCCCCCTCGAAGCTGCTAAGGGGAATATGTCCGCCTTGGTGATCGCAAACCCAAACGCTCCACTCAGCCATCTATGTGGCGAAAGCACGCAGTCAGGAAAACAATGCCATAACTCAATGCACAACTTCCATATCTTACAATCGAGAAATAAGTGGGCGCACAGAAATCCAAATAAGCGCTCCTATTGACAGGTTTGACGACATCGTTCAAGGGCACCAATAGAGTCTAGCCGTCAAGAAGATATCAAAAGCCAAAGTATCCAAAGGTAGGATAGAGGGTAGGATAGAGGATAGGTAGTAAAAGAAGGAAAGGCAGAAAAAATGTCTACACTTTGGACGTCCCTCCTAAGCGCCGCGTAAATAAGTAAGGTCCTCATCGTTATAAACCACGGAGACCCGCCCCAACCCCACAGCCCAGACATGCCTCTAAAGGAATTTTTATAATTTCGTTTGCGCGGCCGACGGGAGCGACGGAGGTCCCTAGGAGTATTGGTTTGATATCCAGATTTATCACCGCGGTTATGTCGTAAGCTGACTTCCGCGCGGATTGCCGCCTGGGAAATTTGGTTCCGGTGGCCCGAAGTGTGTCGAGACATCACTTTCTTCGGTGTTTGTTCCGTCCTAATGGATGTGAATGGAGCATATGAAATTAAGATGCTGAACCAATAGGTGAGGATGCAGCATTGCGATAATGGCGCGGAAGAACTTACTCTTCGTCGGTCGGACGGACCGGACCTGGAGAAAAATGACGTATATTGATGGATGCATGTCTGTCCAAAGATACAGTAAAGTGTACGAGCCAGAAACAACAAAAAAAAACTCTCCAAATTACCGTGCAATTAATAAAATAAAAGAACAATCCGTAATAAAAGTAGCAGTTCATCATAAATCAAGAAATAATGAAAAGTCTGACTGATAATAAAACCTTGTGCGTGCATAAAAGATCATAAATATAATATAAAGTGGAGCGGAGAAACCGGTGAATGCACTCCTGATGGACGGAAAGCCATGCGGAGCAGCAGTACAATTTGCAAAAAGGTATAAAGAGTCGACTCTGACTCCGAAACTCACATACCCCGACAGACGCCGTATCCCTCGCATATAGTCCGTATTCCGTACAGGATAGGATCAAGACTCAATGAAGACTACGACCCACAACATGAGGACCCACTAAATCGCTCCTTAAACACCGCCAGTCGACTTTCCGAGGCTGGTCCGGATAGGCCTAATCGCAAGGTGTCCGCCGCGGCCGACGTCTCCCGTCCATTCAGCGCACGCGCTTCGAGAGCCTCGGTATACACCCATTGCATACATACGCGTCGTGCAATATATTCGAATACGGGTGTGACACCTGTACCGGTCTTTGCAGACGTAAGAAATAACCTCGGGCGTCGCTCGGGACGGGGAGGAAGTGGCGAACTACGACGGCGTGAGCGCCCGGCAGTCACAGATGCAAAGGGGAAATCGGAGGATGAGGTTTCGATAGGCGTGGGTGGGGTAGCGGCTGCAGAGGTTGATGAAGAAGCTTGAGTGCGCATAAAGAGACTTGGAGTAATAGTCGGAGCAGAGGACGAGGACGACATAGAGGTCATGCGTCGAGGACCACGTTTAGCCGGTGTGGCGGGTTTACTTGACGATGCTGAGTCGGGAGATGGTGGAAGGTCATTGTGATTGGATTGCAAGGGAGAGGATGGTGCTGATTCGTATGCATCAAAGAGCGAGGATGAAGGTGTATGGTATATTGTTTGCGTGGTATGTGTCGTCGTCATTGTCCCGCCTAACGAACGATCCGAGGAAAGGGACTTCAGAGGCCCTTTGCGTAGGGAATGTAGGTAATTGCTGCTACCCGGTTGGATAGCGATTGATTCTGACGGTATCCGTGGCGGAGATTCGGTGTCATTATCATCAGTTTTATCAGCATTGTCGGGTTGCGACGTCGAATTCGTGACGGAATGAAGAGAGAACCCAGATAATGAACGCCGCATGAAAAATCCCGTGGTGCGTCTGCTCTGGTCTTGTTCTAGACCCTCTACGAATGGATCATCGTAATCATACTCGTATTCTCCCTCTTCATCCAAGGTTGACGTTCTGGGTACAAGCTCTTCAAGGAATCTCTCTGCCTCGGCTTCCGAGACGCGAGTATGCTTTTGTCCACTCGCATTCCCGTTTGGTACAGGTTCGGTATCTGCATCCGCCACAAGGTCAATCTTATTTCCAACAACGACACAGCAGAAATCCTCTGCCTCCTCATCCGGTACAGGAGCATGCGCTTTAAAACTATCCCACCACTTTGTCAACGCAGAGAGCGTCTCGGGCCGATTCACGTCAAACATGAGCAATGCAGCATCTGCTCCACGGAAGAATGCAGTTGACAGGCTTGAAAATCGTTCTTGGCCAGCCGTATCCTACATCGTAGTTCGATAGCAAACCAGAATACTTATTTATGTCTTATTAGCATGAAGAGTCGTAGAAGGGACGCACCCATATCTGCAACGTAACAGACTCTTCCGGATTCAGGTAATGCGGCACCGTCTTAGTGATAAAGTCCGTTCCTATCGTTGCGCGGTATCCAGTCGAGAAGCGACCCATTATGTACTACACTTTACCGTTCAGCACGTTGTATGCGAGGACATACACAAGCGGTGGTCGTGTGAGTATTTAACAGTAAATACTGACCTGGTTCCTGAGACTCGTCTTTCCGACACCGGAGTCGCCTATTATGACCAGCTTTATCGTTCGCATCTTGCTTCCTTCGCCGTGATTGCGCACACTGTGGCGCGCAGTTGCATGCGTTAGGTGTTGTCGTTGTCGTGTATGGTTTCAATGTGTGACAGCGGCCCTGTCAAGGACTCAGGAGCAAGTTAATAGACGTCGGGAGCAAAGTAGGCAATGTCAAAGAACAGAAGGAAGTTCTCACGATGATGTCCTCCGCCTAAACTCCGCTACAAAGGGTTGGTGCATTTCGGCCTTTCTGTCGTCTCTTCACTGTCATGTTGTACTTGATCTCCCTCATTAAAATACCTCTTCGGGGGCTCTTGAATGGGGTAAACATCCCATTGATTTTATTACCTTGATTGTGCCAATATAATGTATAAAGAATTGTAATTTACAAGTGTGTTTAACAAATATTAGTTGTTACAGATAAAACACAAGATAACAGATTAATGCTACAGTTCAGCTCATTCTCAAGAGTAGAGTACAACTCAAGTGCTGTATAATTTTAGCACATATTGCTTTCTAATGTCCCTGCTTTTTGTTAACTTTAAACAATGATTGTAAGGTTTACGAGTGCGTTGTAATTTGCAGCAAACATTGGCATGTAACACTTGGATGTCCTTAGTTTGCTCGAGTCTGTAGATCAGACACTGTAGTAAGCCCACGGAAAATATTCTTTCGTGTTCGATGTCGGGTTTTCAGATTGAATTTAGACAGCCGACATGCATGACATTTCTCTGCATGGGTGAGGCACATTTTTTAACTATTTTGCTATAATTGACAAAGAAGACACAGCTTCTTCTCAACATTTCGGACTTTGGTTAGCAGGGATTGTTGTTGATGATTTAGCTGTAGCTACCAACTTCTTTTCACGTGTCGGACGTATTCTAATGTGTTGTTAATTTGATAAGTTGTGCGACTTCGATGATTTGAGGTCTCCTTTGAGGCCAGGATACACTCCCGTCTCCTCCATGAGTATCTCATGCCGAATGCATTCCTGAATATGACCTTAATCATATTTTATATATGAAATTAAATCCTGCCACGTTTGAAAGTCGACGAAGATTACTCAACGGAGCTCCGTCCTCCCCGCCAGAAGCAATCTCCTCGGCGTCAGTCAAATACACGAAGACCCGGTATGCCGACGGGGTTAAGAACGTAAATACGCATGTGTGTGGCGAATTACGAGATTACGAGAAGCTGTATAGCTTATAGCTTGTGAGGCCGGGTAAATTAAGAGAAGAAGAGAAGTGTGGGTGCAATGTATTCTGATAGGATTTACAGTGTGATTTGTTTGTGGCGATGTGTATGTAGATCCCGATGTCGGCGTATCGGGTGCGGATGACGTGGAACCTTCGATTTCTTCTCCAGTGCCGTCCTTGTAGCGTATGCTCTTTGTGTTGCAGAAGTGGTTGGCTTTGACAAGCGACAAGTGAGATTTATGCTTACGCTTAAGCTTTTGGCTCATGTGCGAGTGTCAGTGTCACGTTGGCGGTGGACCCACAGACTGTACAATGCATTCGTGCCTACTTGGCCAACTCTGTCTGTTAAACATTCAGCATAGTCCAGGCCAGCGCAGTAACCCGACCCGCATGCGCACGTTCGTACCCTCTAGCAATTAACGACGTTTCGTACTAGCCCCTCTGTAGTCTTCCATAGCTATGGTCATCCCCTTACGATGAGTTCCCCGCCTCGAATAAGTCCACTTCCCTTCTACACATCAACCACATTTCCTTTCCTTCTTCTCGGTTCCGCGCACGTCAGATCTCCGAGATACGCGTACATCGAGGTCAAGGGGGGAGTTGATCGGGCGCGAAGTGTCAAAGAGGGAGAGAAATTGACATGTTGATGCGCCGCAAATCCTTCCCTCGAAGCGATGTTGATGCGCTCTGTTTTCTGTTTCTGTTGCTGAGTGTCGGCGGTTCCGGGACGGGCTTCTTTAGCTTCTTTTTATTTCGTAATTTCCAACGTGTTGAATGGCGCGGTGGACGTGCGTCTTGTCAAGTTGCTTGGTTGAACGCTGATGCTAGTACACATATCTGCTGACTTTCAGGCATAATGAGTCCGAGACGGAAATATATTTCAGTATTACTCATCAATGCGAAGGAAACTGGACAATTACAGGTCAAAAATAAGACATTCTTTGTTGAGTCGCACGCGCCTGTTCCTTACATCTCTCCCAAATCTATCGACGTGCATTCTTCCAGGATCCAGACGCTCTTTCGCGGCATTTTGTGGCGTTGGAAAATGATACATGCCAAGGTGAAGGAGAAGAAAGAAGCGACGACGGTGTTGCGGGCACGAACGCAGCGCCGCACAGGTCGCGAGATCGTCCGCATAGGAATCACGTTGCCTGGATGTTATCCGAAGCGCGCCGCAAAGGTGAAAGTTTCGGGAGCTAGCGAGGTTCATGAACGGGTTGAATATGTGAGTTTGATTTCCGAGACAGATGCAGAAGGACGCCCGGTGAAAGAAGGACGCCCGAACTGAATAGGTATTGCCTATTTCATCGCCGCTAGGGATACCAGCTGATCGGGCCTCATGTATTCTGATGCAGGAGGAGATTTTGTCCAATGGAGACAGTTCTTCTGTGCTCTTTATCCCATTATCGAAGTCGTAGATCGAGAGTTTGGGCCGTTCAATACACGACGTCAGACTTCCCGAAGTAAAAATAAAACATAAAACTAAAAGGGAATCGAGAATAATATGGGAGGATGATGAGATACACAGAGAGGAACGGACGAGTGAGACCAAGATGGAGCTGGGTAAAATAATTTGGAGAACAATGTAGACTTAGACCAAGAAAACTGGGCAATTGCGGGGGTGGGATGACCATAATGATGAGCCGGATGCGTCGGCTATTCGAGTTAGCACAGTCTGCACCTTCCGAGAATGGTGTTCCTGACGTCCCAAATAAATTCCGGCTGCTCAATGAAACCAGCTTCCTATCGTCCTCTTTCTCTCCCCTCAACCACCACCACCAAGTCCTATCATCAGTCCACCGCCCCGTGCCACCCGCCCATCGTCATCTGCGTCACCTACGCAAGTTCAAATCTACATCCAGCCTTCGCTCAAGCACTCCCGCGCACAAGTTAATCACAACAACCTCCACTCGACATATCCAAGATGTCCGACGTCGAGAAACACGGTAACGGCATTCATTCTGCCGGCAACACCCTTACCAATGTTCATGGTGCAGCAGGCCAACCTCCCGTCCAGGGTCACTACCCTGTTGGTGCGGAACCCGGAGGGCAATACCCGTACACCCTCGGTGCCACTGGTGCTCAGCAGCAACTCTTCCAGGGCGGCCTTCCCCTTCGCAAGCTTGCCAACCCTGCCCCTCTGTGAGTCCCACACTCTACTCTTCTGTTCCTGGGAGTATCTGCTCATCGTTGCACATTTGATATTCTTGTACATGTCTATTTTTTACCATCTGCTGCGTTGTGCCACCCGTCGTAAACGTTGATTACGTTGCTTTTGATTAATACCTCCGAACTTTATAGTGGATTGCTATCTTTCGCGTCCACGACACTTATCCTCTCGTTGATTAATGTCCAGACTCGCGGCGTGACGACGCCAAACGTCGTCGTCGGCATGGCCTTGTTCGTCGGTGGCCTTTGTCAGCTGCTTGCGGGCATGTGGGAGTTCGCTGCTGGCAACACGCTCGGTGCAACTGGTAAGTGTTGAGGATCATGCGCGTGTGCATACAGCAAGCCGCGCCGAGAAAATTTCGCTTGCTTTCCCCGCACCGCGTGATCTTGAATTTGATCGCGTTTCAGCGTTTCAACTTGACCTGGCTGTCTGGGCTGGGACGCGTCGATCGTCATCCTTTCCTTTTCGGTACACGCGTCTGGTGCGCTTACTAATCCCGTATGTCCTGCAGCCTTTTCGTCCTATGGTGGTTTCTGGCTGTCGTTCGCGACGATCTACATCCCTAGCTCTGGTATCATCGCCGAGTATACTGATCCTGTCGAGTTGGAGCATGCTGTCGGCTTCTATCTTGCCGTTTGGTTTATTTTCACCTTCCTCATGCTGTGAGAATCTCTCTTGTGTTTCGCCCTGTTTGTATGCTCATTTTCCTGCCTCTAGCGTTGCTTCTCTTCGCTCGAATTTTGGTCTGATCTCTTTGTTCTTCTTCCTTACTTTGACGTTCATGTTCCTCACGATCGGAAAATACGTCACGAACGACAAGATCAACATGGCAGGCGGTGGATTCGGTATAATCACCGCCTTCATCGCGTACTACTGCGGCGTTGCGAACATGTACTCGCGCGAATCCTCCTTTTTCTCCCTCCCGCTCGGTCCCATCCCCGGTCCGAACAAGCACAACTAGGTGGTTCTTTTCTTCTGTCCATGAAACATCTCTTGCCCCATTGTCACTGTCTTTATCCCACTCTTCATTCCTGACTCGATACATTTCTTTTTCCGTTCTGTTTTTTGATTGCCATCGTCTTGGCTTCAAAATCCTGCTTCTCTCGATTGTTTAATACTGTCTCTCTCAGACCTTTAATACTCTGTGGATGATGTGGATCTCGGATCACCACTTTCTTGATACATAGTCGGAAACCGACGACACATCCAATCACATCCTATTCTTGGTCTATATAAAATATGGTCGCATAAGAACTCGTCTCTCTTTGTCCTCTCCAAAGTTTTCAAGCAGCTTTAGGTTCATCAGCTTTGTCTCGGTAGTTGTGCACTTGCTGAGCGTGCTGAGCTGCTATTGTCCATTACATGCCGTTGCAAGTCTCATTTCTTTAATTTTATTGTTTACTTCTCTGTACATTTGAGGGTTTGCGAAGCAATATATTATTGTATCGGGTATGCTTGCTGGTCTGATAAGATAGCCGAATTTATCAGAATCAGTTGATGGAGTAGTTCCCACATGATTTGTTATCTGAGGCACGAAAATTTGTCCGCTTCTGAAGGTAAAGGAGACGGGATAACATCCCAACATGGATCCATGGACTAGGTGAATTTCTTTGTGAACACCTTGTAAAGCTGAAATAGGTGTTACTACCAAGTAGTACTTTGTTTGGTCTGTCTGTTTTTTTTTAAAAAAAAATCAAACTCATCAAACCAGACTGACACCTCATGAACATGTTTGAACCTGCATATAGCTGTACCTTTATTTCAACTCAAAGTTGCATTGACTCGTAGCTTGCATATAATATTTTTCTCAATTATTATAGTAACAAAAGCAATATGATAAAGGAAATGTGTGAATCAGTTGAATATGTGAAGTTGAATTTTTGTTGTGTTGAAAGGCTGGTGCTTCTGTTGAGATAAGATAAATTAGCTATGGCATTGCTCAGAGTATTATAGATATGCTACTATGTAGTATACAAGGATGTGTACATATTGATGTAGACAGACAGGAAAGGAAACAATCTTGTGCAATGTCATATTCTATGATGGTTGGAATACATTAAAACTTATTTGAAACAAAGAAAACAATACAAAACTAGAATGATTTCTCACATTACATAAGTTACAGTATTATAGTAGTGTTCAATACATATCAAAGAATATTATAACCGGAAATAGTCGTATTGCGAACTGACAGATGCCTTTGTATATTTAGCACAAAACATAAGTTACTGTCTTTATAAGAAAGATTACATCCCGTGTATGCTATTTTCTGCAGCATAATTGAAAGCAGAAATAAAGTTAAGGATGATATGTCTGAAATAGAGGAACGCAAATCAGAGTGCTACGCGAAGCACTGTAGAAGATTGGCTGAACATTGAAGAAGCGCGCTTGTAAAGGAGACAAGGAATGGATTTTCGGTAGAGTATGCGGTAGCGAATGACGTATACATGGTCGGAATGTTCCCAGACGGGACGAGTGCTGAGTGTATTTTGGTGGTGGGAAGGTTTGAGATATGAATGAAAGGAAGCTGAGATTGAACATATCATGCTTGACAGATTTCATAATGTCTTGTGACGAACATAGTAATCCTGGCGATCTCAATGGTTTCGACGACTGATATGTTTGTACTTGAAGGAAAGGAGTATAAGACAAGGCTGGATTTGTGGGGCTCAACAACCTTGTAGCAGTGAGTAATTCAAACTCCGCCTGAACCGGTGATCGCCATGAGCGCAAGCAAGACGAGCGTCTGAACACACGCAGCTCGTCGCCTCCAAACGACGACGGCCGTGCGGGCCACTCGACATCCACCACCAGAAAAATGACTAACAACAAGCCACCACGCGCACCTCCGACACCGTCGCCGACGCCCGCACCACACCATGGGCCGAAGCTACCAAAATTCCTCCAGAAGGCGACGACGCGCGACAGAAGCAAGTCCGTGATCGACCCTATTATGCAGCACAGTGGAAGCACCAGTGCGAGTGCAGACGGCAGCCTTGCCAGCTCGTCGTCAAGTTCGGGTGTGATTTCTGTTGGTGAGACTTCGTCGTCTCCTCCGTCGCTGCCGAGTGGTAGTGGTTCGCGACATCGTGGCGATCGCCGAACGAGTAAGTTGAAAGGCACGTTGAAAGAGCTCAAGGACGACAGGATCGGCCAGATTGGTGCACACGCCCAGTCTGGCCGCGAGCGTGAACTGCTGGATGAAGATGAGAATGGATCTATGCTTGGGACGGAGGAAATGCCTGTTATCGTTGAGCCCGCGTCCCCTGCACCAAGTTCATCTCGCTCACGCACGCGGTCCGAGCGTCCGCTCAGCGCGTCGTCTTCGGACTCGCACCCTGCTGTCAATTATTATCCCTCCTCTCACTCTACACAGCGCATTTCTGAGATGAGCGTGGGCTCTCGCCTATCTGGCTGGTTCTCTCATACTTTCAGCACGTCATCAACGGACCTTTCATTGCCCAATATTCTCGCAAATACAACGCCTTTGACTGGTGCCTCAAAATCAAAGTCTGGTGGACTCGGTATCCTTACGGCAGCAAAACATGGAAAGGGGCACTTGGACAAGGCCATGCGGTACTTACTGGACAGCGATGCTACTCCTGACAAATGCACGGATCCAATTTGGCTTCTTGGGGTGCAACATCCTGGTTACGAGCCGCCGCCTCCACCTCCTTCTCAGTCTTCTTCTGCACCTCCTTCGGGGCGCCGGAGCTCGCTTGACATCCGCCGTTCATCTTCAATTCGCAATTCTGTGTCGTCCTTGCGTGGAGCGACCTCCTCTCCTGAGCCTTCCATGGTACATCCACAGAAGAACCCTGGTGCAAACTGGCCACCTGGTTTTTACTCTGACTTCTCGTCCCGAGTCTGGTTAACGTACCGAAGCCATTATCCTCCCATTCGAGATCAGACGCTCGCGCAGCTCGAGGCGGAAGCCAGCGGTCAAATTCCTCTGCAACCTGTGTCAGCTTCACCACGCAAATGGCATATCCTTGGAAGTGGTGAGAAGGGCTGGACGAGTGACTCGGGATGGGGATGTATGCTTCGTACTGGCCAATCGTTGCTCGCAAATGCTTTGATTCATCTTCATCTCGGGCGCGGTATGTATATTATTGCATAGAAGCGTCCGCTCCGGCTTATCTTTGAATACACTTTATAGATTGGCGCCGACCTCCTCAGCCAGTGTATACTGTTGATTATGCAACATATGTCAAGATCCTCACTTGGTTCTTCGACTCTACGGACATACATTGTCCGTTTAGTGTCCACCGTATGGCCCTCGCTGGAAAAGATCTGGGAAAGGACGTCGGCCAATGGTTTGGTCCCAGTACGGCTGCGGGTGCTATTAAGTACGTCTTGTCATCAAATTCTTTCTCCGGCCTCGAGCCGCCCTACCCTGGTTTCGCTTCCTTCTTCAATTCATGTCTGGGGAAGCTTTACTGAATGCTATATTTTCTAGGACCGTCGTGCATGCCTTCGCTGAAGCTGGTCTTGGGGTCTCTGTTGCGACTGATGGTGTCGTGTACGAGACGGATGTGCTCGCAGCTTCCAATGCGGGGCCATACATGTATCGGCATTCACGAATGGCAACATCCTCGCCCAGCACGCGACGACGACGCAGTGCACAGCAACAGCAGAGTATGATGTCTATTTGGGGACAAAGGCCTGTGCTTGTTCTCGTTGGTATCAGACTTGGAATCGATTGTGTTAACCCGGTATATTACGACGCCGTGAAGGTTTGTGTCTCCTTTGATATCTGGACGTCTTTTGACTGATAGGACATCTGCTAGGCATTATTTACCTTCCCTCAATCCGTCGGAATTGCTGGCGGTCGACCTTCTTCATCGTACTACTTCGTTGGTGTGCAAACAGATAACCTGTTTTACCTTGATCCACATCACTCTCGTCCTTCTGTACCGTTCCGACCACCTCCGGCAAACGTGGATATGCATAACTTCAACCGTAATTACGGCCACACTGCATCACTACCAGCCGATTCGCCTCCCTCGTCATATCGTGAAGTCTATACAATACACGGAACTAACACGTCTCGACATGTCAAGGCCTCATCTTCCATATCATCTTACGCTTCACAGAGTCGCATGTCACCGTCAAACTCTCAGGGATCGGGTTCTGTCTCAGGGCAGAGTCTGTATGGATATGGTGGTTTGGATCTCATACAGGAACATTATGTAACATCGTATTCGCCGATGGAACTGCGTACGTTCCACTGCGATCGGGTACGCAAGATGCCGCTGTCGAGCCTTGATCCGAGTATGTTGATTGGGTTCTTGTGTCGTGATGAGCGTGATTGGAAAGATTTGAGGGAAAGAGTTACGGAGGTATGGGATCTCCAAAGAAGCGCTGTATAAAGTCGAAGTTTATCTGATGTCTTTTACAGATGTCACGAAGGTACAAGGCGATATTTTCCATTCAAGACGAACCGCCATCGTGGCCGTCGGATTCAGACGAGATGGGTATGGAGTCCGTATCGGATGTGGATATCGACATGGACGAACCAGCAGACGAAGTCTCTCTATCTCCAGAACCCGAAGACAGAGATGCCGGAGAAGGCGAGGCGTCTGACAACGCTGACGCTGGTAGACCGACTTCCCGTCGTGAAGACAGCGGAGGGAGACAAAGTGAGGAAGTGACTACAGAAGAAGACCCTCTTGGACCAGTCACACCCGGACCTTCCTCTGCGACTCAAGATTTCCATGACCAACAGGGGGATAAACTGGCGGAATCGATGAAGGCTATGGACCTTGAAGAAGACCTGCTAGGTGATGATGAAGAATGGGTTGATCCGGACCCGAACTTGCCTGCTCCCACGCCACGGCCACGTGAAGCGCCGAATTACCCTGTCTTGCCTCTGAGCGCTGTGAACTCGACTGCGACGACTGCGTCGTACGTCTCTGCGTCGTCGTCGTATAGTAGTTTGCAGATCCCCCAGCAGAGTCCAAGTCCTGGTGCGTCGGGGAGTAGGAGAGGGAGTCCAGGTATGAGCAAGGAAAGTGACAAAGATAACGAAGCGATGAAGGACGAAGATAAGGAAAACAAGCCACAGCAAAGACCCTCCAAGATTCGAACGAAGAAATCGACGGGGAAACGAGAAGCATCGTCGGCCCAATCACAGGCGCAAGAATACGTACCATTCCCAGTTGTGGACGATCGAGAACCAGACGACACAGATTTTTATGAAGTGCCTTCACATTCTCAGTCTTCCTCAGGTTTTGGACATCCCGGGTCGGGATCAGGTCCAGGTCCGAGGGGGAGACGACGGACGGGGAGTGGAGGGAGTCAGAATAGGACGCCGATTGCTAGTGTGGTTACGCAGACCGACTCCACAAGGTTGACAACAACGACGACATCAACAACAGGGAATGGCAATGGGAATGCAAATGGGAATGGGAATGGGAATAGTAATGGAAATACGGGATATCGGATACGAAATGTTTTTGGGAGGGATGGTGGACGGACGCAGAGTGGTGGAGTGCGTGGGATCGTTGCGTCTGACCCCCTTGATGATGCGAGCGATTCCTAGCCTAGTTCATGTGGTTTGTTTGCTTGTTTTTCTTAATTTGTTTTGGTTCCCTGGCTATTCCTTTACTCTGTTTGCTACTTCTCCTGACTTTGTGATGCCCTGTAATGACTGTGTACGCGCGGCTGGTCCGGCGTACAGGTTTTATGTTTCTCATCTACACGCATAGCACAACTGATTTAAGTTTCCAATACATAAGTTATTCCCTTTTCAACTCGCTGTGTGTACGTCCTTGACTTTCCCTTCCCGTATTCAGAAATGTTGACTCATACATTGTTATCCAGTTCCCCGGCCTAGCGGAGCGCCTCGTAAAATTGGACATGGACTTTGTTTTCCCATCAATATCATTTCTGGTGTTTTATTCTCTTCCTTTCTTCTTTCTTCTGTGGTCTTTGTCGGCAAAGTGACATGTGGTTAGCGGTATGTGTAGTAGTCAAGTTTTTTTGTAAAACATCATGAACGATTGAAATTCGAATCTTAAGGGCATTTTTTTTGATAATGCCTTCTTCCGGGTTAGATGTTGAGGAGGGGGTCTTCATAAGCCTGTGCCACAGATGCTGAACGTACAGCATCATCAATGAGCTTTCCCAGTGCAAAGTTGCTTAATCAGGACTTCAGGGGGGCAATGTTGCCTACTATTTACCAAATATATCTGATTGCTGGAACATGCAACAACATCAAATTGTTTTGATGTGTGTTCATTCGGCGTTAGTACAAAGCAAGTAAGTCCGTGTACTTGAGTGGGTTATCATTGGAGAATGCGTTTGCAATATTGTTTCCGCGCAGGGATATGAAGGCGCCAGGGTGGTTGGCGGAGGAGTCCTGCAGTTTTGGACAAACCAAACCTTCTCTTTCTTGACTTCCGTATTGGCATTGGCGATGGGACACAATCGACACAGACAGAGCACTGCTACTGTTCGAAGTAAGGACGCCTCTCAACAAGAGGGAAAAGTAGCTACACCGCGACGAAAGGCATGGAGTCGTCCGAGCACTCGCCCTGTGCGAAAAGATAGTGGTGCGAAGGATCAAGGGAGAGAGTCGGCGAAGAAAGCACACACCAGCCACACGCATGAACGAAGAGGAGAGGATCGACCGTCCGTGGATGAAAGGTTGGGCATCTCATACAATACCATTTATCAGTTACTTAGTAATATTAACGCCGGTGAACAATCGACGTAGACCATCCGTAGCGGTACCGAAACAAGCTCCTCAGCAAGCACCTACTAAGCCGGAACAAGATACGTGAGTAACCCATATAGTAGTATTACTCAATAACTCATTGCTCATCATTTGTGAACAGCCATCGAACGTCAACGCCGACAGTAACGAAATCGAAACGAGCTTCGCCTTCTCAGGCTCCTAAACACAGGGAATCATATGCATCTACTACGTGCGTAATCACGCTCAAGCATACTTATCTAAGACTCAATTATTGTGAACAGTTCGAGCCACCGTGAATCAACTATCCCATATTCAAGTCCCCTTGCTGGCAGAGAAGACTCTGTATCGTCGTCAACTATCTCTTCGTCGGGCAGTGAATCGCCCAAGAACTGGTATAGTAACAATAGTAATACGACTTCGCCGATTCGCTACAAAATATCTCCAACCCCAATAACGTACAAAATGTCCCCAGTAACGTACCCGTCGTTCACCTACACCACAGAGCCTGTTAATATGTATCCACGAATACAAGAAAGGTGTGAACTAATATTTATGTAAGTTATTATGACTTTATTAACAGTTATGATAGTCCACAGAGTTCGGAAGACGAACAAGAATCCGACAGTGAAATGCCAGAGCAATTGAAAGCTAATAAAGACAATATGCATTGGTATTATACTGAAGACTCAATTTCCTCTGAAGTCAAAGAACATAATAGAAAAATGTATGGAATACAGACCGGGGCATCGCGAGAAAGTCTTATAGCTTATATTAGCTTATAATGGTTCAAAATATGTAAATACTGTGAAAACTGTAAAATGCAAAATAATTGATCTCAATTTCTGAGAAACAGTATAAGGCATTATAAGATCCAAAAGGTTTGTCAATATTCAAAAGGTTTATTAGTATTTCAAGCCTAAGGAAAGCTTGCTGTTCTTTATAATAAGTAAAGACATTGTATACATTATAAGGCATAAAAGATTTGTTCACATTATAAAGGTACATAAAGTTTTTTATCCCTTGCAATAAGTAAAATGACTTATATTTGATCTCGAAAATGATGAGGAGTATATACTATAGGAAGGATGGTATTAATTATAATGTATGCAAATTAATATAACAGTCTAAAAGACTGTTCCAAACCAATATACATTTTTCTGCCTTATAATGTTGACAGAAGCCTTACTAAAGAATTGCAATGTATATACAAACTCTACTTATATTCATTTTACTTTTTCGCCCTTACATGCATTAATAATGATTCAAATTATTTATATTTTCGTGGCAATATTACAACGTTACTAAATACTAATTATAGCACTAACAGGTGCAGGAGCAAGAAGAAAAGTGGTGAAAGCAGAAA